TCGTTTTATACATCATTTATCCCAGATAGAGAGGCGGGCAAGGAAGGTGGAATTTAGGGTTGGAGGTTTAATAGGTGCCGACCTAAAAAATATTGAATGGTCGCATTAACATAAACCTAGAAATTTACACAATTATTCCTGTTAAACGATTTTGCCGACAGATGTATATCCCCAGCCTTGAGTTATGATTATTCACACGTTTGACCCTTTATTGGGGAGATTCCGAAGCAGTTGGACAATATTGACCAATTCGTACCTGAGCTAAGAATAATAAAAATATTACAATGTGACAGATTTAGAATATATCTACTACTTCCTATTTTTATATAAGATATGTGGAAATATGCGTGAGGTAACAAATATAGCGGCCAAGAAAAATATTCAGATATAGCAAGTTGTTAAGAATCGCTGACTTGTTTCGCAAGTTATGACAGATATAAGTCTTGGAAATTGTGACCCTTTGTGGATGGGGTACCAAAAGGGGTTGGCAAATATATATCATCTTCACAACAGATCCTGCGTTAACAAAAATATTTGAAGAGAGTTGGATGCTTATTTCGCTTTCTTTGAGGTTATGATTTTTCAAAATCTTGGTGGGGGAAGTACCAGAAGGAGTGGACCGATATATCTTCGTCCAGACCTTGGGTTAATAAAAATATTGTGATGTATGTAATTTGAAGACAATCGGATACTTACATCACATTTTCTAAGAGTTATAATTATTCAAAATGTTGACCATTTGTGGGGGAGGTACTTGATGGAGTGGACCGATATTGTCCATTTTCGCACTGATGTAAACATTAGGATTAGGATAGGAAAGTAGGAGCATAATCGGATTATCCTTTCCCGTTCTGTGCAAAAAATATTTTTTGAAAATTTCGACCTTTTGTGGGGGAGGTACCAGAAGGGGCGGACCGATACATTTAATTTTCACACCATGGCTTGGATTAATAAAATTATTGGGATGTGTGAAATTTGAAGGCAATCGGACACATACATCACATTTTATAAGAGTTATAATTATTCAAAATTTTGAGCCGTTGAGGGGAAGGTACTTAATGGAGTAGATCGATACTGTCCATTTTCGCACCTAACCTAGCACTAATGCAAATATTAGGATTCGCAAAGCGTTAGCAAAATCGAATTATCCTTTCTCCTTCTGTGCAATAAATTATTTTTTTAAAATGAGAGTTATCGTGCGCATCCGCCAGCCAGGCAGACAGACGGTCGGTCAACTCCAAATGTCCTAAAACGGATTTGGAGACCTACGGTCTAAAACCCTTATTTCGATGAGGCACGTTTTGTCGTATCATATGATATATACTCTCTCTAGCCACAAGGCTTAGGGTATAAAAGGGTGTCAACATTTCAGGTTGGTTCTCGCACCCATTAAAACTTTAAAGCATATCGCTGTCTATTTTTGGCTTTTTTAAAACATTGCGTGACAAACTCCACATCTTATAAAAATATTCTCATAATAATATTGAAAATACAGGTCCAAAACCAATTCCAAAGAATCACACATTTTTATTGAATAATTTCATAATCGCTTGCCCTTTTGGCATTCATTCATTGATAATTAATTTAGAATGAATGCAATTTTAAAACAGGTATTATTGCCTGCGCCTTTTCAACAAACAGTTAATTAAGATTGTTGTATACAAATATATGACTGGCCAATAAATAACGAAGAAGCAACTGGCTGTTATATCCAATTGGTTAATTGAATGATTGCCATGCTACTGGCAGCTATTCTTAACTCATTAGCTTTCGCATGCAATGACTCAATTTCACATCTACACAAGGTTTTTTTTTTGTTCATATTGCCGTTGTTGTTGTTTTTATTTATTGTTTTTCTTTTTTTATTTTACTTATTGCAAAAAATGTGATTTTGCTTTCTTCGGAATGTAAACAAGTGATTCGTTATCAACTTAAACAAATTTGTATATGTTCTCCTTCACATTGTACATAGCATAGTTGGTTGATAAAAACGTTGCCCATTTGCCCGATTTAAAGGGTATAACGCCAATGCGTATGGAGGTATTTAGGTTTATTCGCACTTAAAAGTTATTTAAAGCTCCGTGAGGATGGCGAAGGTGATAAAAAATAGTGATCACATGTCCATCTAATTTTTACAAATTGATGAGAGAGGATATCGAATATATCAAGTAATTAAATCGAGATTCATTTTTTGAACGCAAGAAACCCCTTTGCTAATCACGTGAACTCGTTAAGCTTTGTTGGGTGCCAGGACAAATCAATATAGTAGGGAATGAAATGGTTTGAAGAATTAGCTCGAGGTGTTTCCGATTGAAGAGATTATCAATCCACCCATAAGCTATTATTGCAGCAGATTCTAAAAGGCTCTCATCGAAGCAGCTGGCAAAAGATGTAATCTGGAAACCGGTTGCAAGTTATCTAGGGTCATCTGCCGTCCAACTCTAGACGAAAAACTTGCTTCCTTCTAACAATAAATAGGCTTGATCTAAGAATAGTGCTGGGCATTTCGACTGGTCTCTGCAGTATCAGATTTTTGTCCTCAAAAAGGGAAAACGGCGGTCCTGACTACTATAGGCTGTATGAGGAAGAAAAAGAGGTAGAGATGATTGAACATATACAATTCAGATGTCTTCTCAGATGTAGATTCCATCATCGTCCAGATGATTGTCAACAAGTTAAATAGAATCAGTCGATATTGCCGCCAACTGCATACCCTCAGCCAAAGTTCGGCTGGGTGAGATAAAAAAAATTGCAACAAAGTCAAACGCCATAATTTTTACATTTTTTTTTAATTCTTTTAAATGAAAGTAAAAATGGTCGGAAATAGCATCAAATTTTAGAATAAGTTTAGATTTGGTCGAATTGGTCACCGTTGGCACGGTTTATGGCCTTCAAAAGGCCAGTGAAACCGTCACACGCTGCCCGAATGTTGCTCTGCGGTATTTTAGACCATTTCCGGCGAAGCACTGGCTTGAGGTGATCGACACTTTGGTATTTTTCAGTGCCATCCTTGCTTTCCAAAATACTCTCCAGACACAATAGTCCAACGGTTTGGTATCCGGAGATTTTGGTGGCCATTGTGCGCTGGAAATGAAGCGAGGAACCTCATTTTGTAACCATTCTTTAGTGGCGCGTGCTAAGTGCTTAGTCATGTTGGAATGTTCAAGGTCTGAGGCCAAAATGTTTGCGTTCCCAAGGCTTTAATACACCCTCCAGAATATTTTCGCGATAATATTCGGCATTTATTCTGATGCCACGATCGATTCATACGAGCGGAGAGCGACCATCGGCTCTTATGGCGGCCAACACCATCACCATGGTCGACGCTTGAGTTCTGGTGGCCAGTCAAAGGTGCACATTTTCAGCTGACCTCTTTGGCAAGTAAACACGATCATTTTGTTTGTTAACAAACTGCTGGACAACGAATATTTTCTCATCGGAGAAAAACAAATTCGGCAGTTCCACTTTCGGCCAAGCGAAGCAACTCTTTAGCCCTTTGAGTCTGTTATCCTTCTGTTGCGGTGTAAGTTCTTGCACTTTTTGGAATTTCAATGGCTTTACCCCAAGCTCATTTTTCAATATTTACCGAATAGAATATTGCGATATGTTCAGCTCACGAGCCATTTTTCGGCCACTGCGACGCGGTTTTTGATCAAGTCGCTTCTTTACTTTTCGAACCATTTCTGCGGATGTTGGTGTTTTCTTCCGTCCACTTCCTTGACGTCGGGCTACGCTACCCAGTATCACGGTAACGAGCGATGGTACGAGACACAAAAGATTTATTCACATTTAAATGCTGGAGTTCTCTAACGATAGCCACTTGTGGTTTTCCAGCCAAATATAAAGAAATCACACTACCACGCTTGAATTCCATCACGAATAACTTTTTTTTTCTGGAAAATTCTCACCAAAATGCTTTTGTACGCTAGAAAACAATATCAACAGCTGTCGGGCGAGTGGCTTAGAAATAACAGCATTATGAAGTTGGTTGCAGTTTTTTCATCTCACCCTGTATACCCCCTGTAGCCACATGCCTGTGGGTATTAGAACATATCATAGCTAGACATGATATGAAAATTTTGGAGTTTGTTTTTGTTTTGGACGTACGAGAAAGAATATACCTATACGGGTCATTTTTGAACTCGATCTACGTTTTACGATATTCTGATAGTTCTACTGCGCATCAGTCGGCAATACCGACAGATGAACATGGTTAGATGCTCTAAAAAGGATTACACCCAAATAGGTATGAGATCTAACTCCGTAATTATGATGAGACACATTTGGGCTGCAGGATATCTATTAGATCTATGTGGCCATAAGGTTTTCTATATTATAGTCAGCATTCCCAGACTTTAATATGGCAAAATCCTTTTAAAGACACGCGAAAAAATGGTTACTTTTTCCCAGTCACGTTCCATATGTTTGAAATAAGCACAACCATCTTCATTCACCCTACCCTACCCTAATTTGTTTTAGAACGCATTCACACTTTTGTTTTGTTTTGCTTCTTCTCAATTTTTTTGCACGTTTATGCGAAAACGAACAAACAAGAAAACAAAATTCAACAAAAAATCCTCTGTAAAAACAAAACAAATCATGAAATATTGTAAATGTATTGTACTATACGGCGCTAAGGCCCCAAGGCATACACTGACTGATACCAGATGACGTAGACCGACTAACCTAGAGACATCAACCAACAGTGGGTGGTGGCTCTGTCTCCCCGAACCATAAATCATTAGCAACACGAAATTTGTGTAGAAACAATGTCAAATTGGGGGGGGGGGGGGGGGGGGAATAATAAAAGTAAATAGCCAAGCTATGAAGCCAAAAGTGGAGGAAGACACACAATTAATTGAGTTATAAGAATATATGTGTATACACGTCCAAGAGGTCAATTAATAATAAACATGAAAATGACAAAAATAGTATTTTATGTGGCTATGACAGCCACATTGTTGTTAATAAATAGAAAACAAAAAATATGGTTAACTTACCACCCCATACGCTGATTTTGAGTTGATTGCCATCAAGATTCTCCACATAGTTGAAGAGGTACTTGTTGAGGTAATGGGCTACCACCGATTCCAAAACCATGATGACGCCGCCTTTCGCTCAGGGCGGGGATGTAAATTATTTTGTTATTTGTTTCGTCGCAATAAGACGGCGACTGATAAGTAAATACGTTTACAATTGCAAGGTCTACATATGGAGGACACACGGTTTCTGGCACTTTTTGTCTCCTTAAGAACACTCTTGCCCCGCTCTCTGCTCCTCCACACTCACACACAGTAGTTTACTTTGTTGGTTTCTAAAGAAACTCAAATTGTTATTGATTTTTTTTTTGCAGATAACTTGGCCTTCACTGAACTTCAATTCGTATCGATTATTTGCGCTTTTTTCCTAAGGAACATCAAAAAAAATGATGAAATAAAACAATAAAATCACTTAAATGGAAAAACTAAACAATGGCTGGCCACACAAAAAACGATATATTTATTTATATTTTACGACAGCTTGGAGTTTTCAATAAAAGATTTGTTGCCACAGAGGTCCCCAAACCAACTGGGGTTTATGGTAGACGACGTTACGCGTTGTGTACATCATTAATTATGCATAATTTGTTGGTAACACCAAAAAAAATTGATTAAAACAACAGTAAAAATTAACAAAATATGGAAAACAAAAGCTAAAAAACGGCACAACACACGCACGTATTTCCATTTCTATTCGAAAATCATCAAATAGATTTGTATTATATTTTTACGATGACATCATCAGAAATTTGTTTTCGTTTCAATCACTCTACTCTTTTTTTTTTGGGAGGAACGCATAGCACAACGACGACGTCAGAGTGTTGTGGCTCTTCCCGCACTAGACAAATTCACAAATTGTTTCACGTTTAAGTTGTAATTTCCATAATATTATTCAGAAATATGTTCAAACCGGAATAAAATATGGGTTAGTTCTTCCGACGAGATCGATATTAATATATATTTTGGGACACTCCGCTACCTACAACCAATCGAATCCAATAAGAAAAAAATACTAAATGAAAATGTGAAGGAATGTCAAATTCCAATGCTGCAAAAACATGAGAAATGTCAAAATTTTGTTTATTTGTGTTTATATTTTTATGGTGAATTCAATCACAATAATACTTGTTGACATTTCAAAAGGTGACTATTGTGACTTTTCAATCAAAATGCTAAAGTGAACTGTTAAGCCTCAACAAACGCGCAAATTTGGCGCAAAAATAAAAAGGATTGTTAAACAAAACCAACGAATTTAAAAAACGTCTAATTCAGAGCTTGACTTGACATGGAAAATAATGAATTAACAGTCTTTATAACTAAATTAATGACAACAAATTGTTACATGGCATTATAATTTTTAATAATATTGACAAAAAGTAGACATAATTTTTGGTAATTTTTACAAACCCATTTTACCATCAGTTGCGTTTTTCAAAAATCTTCAACCTCATGTGGGGGAGGTACCAAAAACAATGGTCCCATCTGTAACATCTTTATAACAGATCTTGTGTTGATAGAAATATTGAGATTCCCGTTTTATTAGCTTCATGGATTCTCGAAATGCTGACCCTTTGTGGAGGAGGTACCAAAAGAAGTGGACCGATATCTCCCATTTTCACACCAGAGCTTGGGTTAATAAAATTATTGTGATGTGAGTAATTTGCAGAGAACCTCATTCTTATTTCAGATTTTATGATCGGTTTGGTTATTCAAAATTTTGACCCTTTGTGGGGGAGGTACCAGAAGGAATGACTCGATCTCTACCATCTTTATAAGAGATCTTATGTTTATAGAAATACTGAGATGACCCAAGTCTGAATGGAATCGGATGTTAATTTCGTGTTTCATGAACTTCATGGATATTAAAGAATTTGAACCTTTGTGGTGGAGGTCCAGAAGGAGGGACGATGTATCCCAATTTCACACCAGACCTTGGGTTAATAAAAATATTGCGATGTGTGTAATTTGAAGACAATCGGATACCTACATCACATTTTATAAGAGTTATAGTAATTCAAAATGTGAACCGTTGTGGGAAGTACTTGATGGATACTTGATTTCTTTGCAAATGTTTTCTTTTTGTTGGGGAGGTACCAGAAAGAGTGGACGGATATTGCCCATCTCCGAACTCGATCCAATTTTGACAATAATGTAACGATGTACCAAGTTTTGATAAAATCAGGTACTCCCTTCGAAGGTTATCGTGAGCAGCAGCCACACATACATCGCTAGATCGACTCCAAATGTCATAAAACGGATTTGGTCCAAAAAGACGTTGAGTCTAAAAGCGTTATTTCGATGAGGCACATTTTGGCCGTCTCAAATGATATATACCCTCTCTAGCCATATGGCTGAGGGTATAATAATTCATACAGCTGAATGATTAACGCCGTAAAAATTCCATGATTGGATAAAAGGTAATCTCTATTTAAATACGAAAGAATAACAAGCTTTTTATGTATTTGCAGCCTTAAGAAGGTAACCTCGTGCAATAACATAACAAAAAATGGAATAGAACTTTAGCGTTACGCGTCCGTCGCAGTACGTCGTACACTAATTTTACAATTATATTGGGCATACATGATTTATTGTGAATGATTGGTTGCGATTATTATGAATGACTAGTGTGACGTGTTGTTTATATGCATTAGAACTTTCCAACTGCAAAATAACAAAAAATAATTAAACAAAAACTTTACAACTATGAAGTTTTATTACCTAGTGATATTAATGGCGCTTTTGCCATTGGCGATGGCCAAGAAATCTAAGGAGAAACCTGACTGGGCTAAGAAGGATATACGTGATTTTACAGATGCCGATATGGAGCGGCTTCTAGATCAATGGGAGGTAAGTTCCAATACCAACTCCGCAAAAGGAAAGTAGAACTCAATATGTTCAATATGCTAATTTTACAGGAAGATGAAGAACCATTGGAACCCGATGAGTTACCTGAACATTTGCGACCACAACCACAGTTGGACCTATCCAAATTGAACACAGCCAATCCTGAGGAATTGTTGAAAGTCTCGAAAAAGGGCCGGACCCTTATGACTTTTGTCTCCGTCGATGGCAATCCGACACGCGAAGAAGCTGAGACCTTAACAAAATTATGGCAAACCAGTCTGTGGAATAATCACATACAAGCCGAACGATACATGGTCGATGATGATAGAGCCATATTCCTGTTTAAAGATGGTTCACAGGCCTGGGAGGCAAAGGACTATTTGGTGCAACAGGAACGTTGTAAGGGCGTGACAATTGAAAATAAAGAATATCCCGGAGAGTACTCCAAGAAAGACGAATTATAGAGGGGATAAGCAGCTAAGAAATACCTCAAGACATTTGTAAATTTTTTTCCAATCTCATGCATTTTTCGCCAATAGTATTTAGTTATTTTGTAAAAAAGAAAGTAGTATTTTATGTGAATAAAACATATGAACAAATTTTTTTTGGTAGAATAATAAAGTTCTTGTTATTATGCGGGTCGGGTGTTATCAATCTATTGTGAATGATTGTGATTTATTCACGCTGAATGTTGTTAATTCATTGTTTTATTATTGCACGTGTTGCTACCATTCACTTGTCTCGTTATCACGTTTTCATTTGACTAGTCTTCCTTCGCCCACAAGTTGAACCATGCCTGTTCAAGCTAAAATTGGTCCATCCATCCTAAATGCCGATCTCGCCGACTTGGCTGCCCAGTCTCAACGTCTACTGGACAATGGTGCGGACTATTTACATTTGGATGTTATGGATGGTCATTTTGTTCCGAATTTGACTTTCGGTCATTCCGTGGTCAAGTGTTTGCGCAACAAAATTAAAGATGCCTTCTTCGAAACCCATATGATGGTGTCGAAACCCCAACAATGGATTGAGCCAATGGCCGATGCTGGTGTCAATCTTTATACATTCCATGTTGAACCAGTACAAGATGATATCGAATCAGTTTGCCGTAAAATCCAAGAAGCTGGTATGAAAGTGGGTTTGGCCATTAAACCTGGTACAGGAGTCGAGGCTATATCGAAATATTTGGATTTGGCTGATGTGGCCTTGGTGATGACAGTGGAGCCTGGTTTTGGTGGTCAGGCCTTTATGGCCGACATGATGCCTAAGGTGGAATGGCTAAGGCAGAATTATCCCAATTTGGATATTGAAGTTGATGGTGGCGTTGGACCCAAGACCATTGACTGTTGTGCCAAGGTACGACATTTTTTTATGGAAAGTTGATTTCGACTATTGATTGTTGTTGTTTTAATTTTAGGCTGGTGCAAACATGATTGTCTCGGGCACAGCTGTTATACAAGCCCCAGACCAGAAAGAAGTTATAACTCTGCTCAAATCGACAGTACAAAGTTATAATAAGTGATATCTTTCATTTAAGAGACATTAACACATTCTATAGAATCTTTGGTAAGTTGAAAGTAAAGGAGAATACGTGGAAGCATTGATAATGGGTCCAAAGTTCAAGAAACTGTAGCATGAGTCTTGATTTAGAAATTACTAACTCGAAGGCCAACTTTAAGAATTAAAGATTTTATATTAATAGTTATGGCTTAGCCAGCCGTAAGTTATTGATCAGATAAGAATTATTTTAGTTAGAGAACCTGATTGAGGTACATTTGGAGTAGAGTTTTTATGACAACAGAAAGATTTTCGTTTTAAATTACCAATTGATTAAGGCGATTATGAGGTTATATTTTAGACTACAAAAATGAAATGAAAACGACAAAATGTGTAAATTTTTGATGAGAGGCAGAATATGGTCTTATTGAGAGAAAAACGTTTTAATATTAATAATATTCATTTTTAGATTGATAAATAAGACTTATATGATTAAATTTATAAGTAATTAAGGAGAAGAGAGTCCTCTGCGGCAACCAATAAGAATTGTATTTCTTTATGAGCGAGAAAAGTTGCTGTAGCGACAAAATAATATGAGAATAGATAAAAGCCTTTATAGAATGTGAGTTTTCATAGATTTGAAAATAGTCTGTATAGAGGGAGGAGGGAAATATTAACAGACCTGTAAAGGAAATTAATAGTTGCTTGGAAAAAAGCATAGAGGGCTGGAAGGTAGTCTTTATAGAGGACTGTTAATGAGCCTTTTTAATCGGAGTCTTTATAAGCAGCTGGAAGAATTTTGGTAAATTACTGGAAAAGTCTTTGTGGAGATTCTTTGTAGAACTGGAAGGAGATAAGATTTCTTGGAAAAAAATTTCCGACTAAAGTTTAATGTTAACAAGTAAAAAAGTTGTAATTTCGGCCGGGTGGAACTTTGAATATCCACCGTTTTGAACGAATTTGGCAATTTAAACAATAATAAAATCCGTTAAAAATTCAAATATTCAAATAATTTTCTGCCATACGCTGCAATATCCACTACGAACTTCAAATACAAAATTTGAAACAATTCCGGTGAATAATGTCGCTAAAATCGTCAAAATACCGAGTATAGGGAGGTGCCGTCATATGGGGGCTATACGAAGACGTGGACCTACATGGCCCATTTTCAATACCACAAGTCCTGCAGACATAATACATATTTGGGTAAAATTTTATCAACCTACTTCATTTCGTTCGGAAGCTAGAGTGATTTCCACAGACGGACGGACGGACGGAAATCGAATGACATTCTGAGTCGATTTGTGCATGATCATCCGCGTGTCCAGGTATTTCAAGGACGAACCCAATTGAAATTGGTGATAATCGACCTAAATTTAGATATAGCTTTCCAATTTATATTTTATTGTGCACCAAATGGTTAATATCAGGCCAAATAAGGTGGATTTTGGCACTTGCGACCGAATGCTGCCTCGAAGAAAGTACTTCAAATTTGATGATAATTCTCAAATATATATTTTTCATCCGATTTGGTCGCTTACATTCGAAATATACCCTCCACGACAGTGATATTTGGTATCGCATAACAGATACAGTCAAGAAATGCCTCTTTCGGATTGGATGGATTCTTGAAAATTCAAACGAATTTACATTTGGTGAAACTTGGGATATATGGGAATATCGATAGCTTCTCGAAGTCATATCATACACTCTATCATTTTTAAATTAACTTTAGCCAGATTTTTATTAATTTTGTATTTTTTTATTTTTTTTTTTCAGATATAATGGTACTTCACAGTTATTCACATTGTTGTGGCATTTATTTTTATACAGCTGACATTAATTGGTTTCCTATAGATTTTTAATAAAAAAAACACTTAAAATTAAGAAACAAAAATCTGTTAATAAATATAACAAATGTTAAAAACAGGAAAAAGTTTTTATGATATTAAATATACTGGAATATAAATGGGTGAGTAAAATTCTTGGTATTCTTTAAATGGATGAGGAGCTATGCTATGAAGCAGAAGAATTGACGCAAAATTGATAATAATTAGAAAATAAGGGGAAGTATATATTATAATATGTGAATAATATACAAGTATCAACGATGTATAATAATAATGTATAAAAATATAAATTATAATATAGTAGATGTAAAAATACCTGAAAATGTGTGCTTGAAAGATAGCAAAGGGCACTGAAATGGGCGTTTGAAATCATGAGTTTATTTTCCTTTTTTGGGTTAATTTTGAACTTACCTTTTAATTGTAACCACTATAAAAATAAGAAGAAAACTCGGTTTGCTCATTTTTTTTTGTTTTTATCCTTTGTTTATTCATTTTTCTTTTGCTCAACATTTATGTATATGATATTTATTTTATTTGATATATATTTTTTGGTTTGTTTGTTTGACTGTGTATACTTCCTTTTTTTGTTGTTATTAGCATTAAATACATATATGTATGTAATGTTTGCATGTTTGTATAGCATTTCAATTGAAGTTTGTTCTTTAGTGTGTGTGTGTATATAATATACCTTTTATTATGTTTTTTTTTTTTTTTGTATAAATTAAATATGATGATATTTGTTGCACTCTGTTTTCGAAAAGAAAAAATGGGTGTAAATAAAAAAATAGCAAACAAAATGTTATTTTTTGGAAAATTATTGTCATTTCATTAGAGTAGAGTCCATTTTAATACGCTCTGAAAAGTGTATTATGTATTCCAGTGTGATTTTTATAAAAAATTGAAGATAACATGTTTTGAGAATCGAAGAATGTGCTGCAGTTTCAACAAGTGCTGTATCTAATCAACTCAAGAGTAATTAAAATTGTAGCATATCTATTTGTTTTTTTGTAAATATGTTTGCATGTATTTTTCTCATATTTTTCTAAAATTTAGTTCAGCTGTTTTGTAGTCATTATTGTTTTTGAATAATCTGCATTTTTTCATTAGGCTTTTGTTTGGGGTTAATATAAATCTTTGCCTTGTTGGATTTTGTTTTTTCTCTTTGTATTTAAACATTTAGTTTCCTAGTTTGTGTTTTTTTTTTTGGTATAAATAGTTTTCGTATTTCAACATTTACTACGGTTTTTTGTTTGTTGTTTTAATTTCTCTTTAACAAAAGATGTTGATTTTTGTATAAAAAATATCATATTATGTTTTGTGGAAATTAAGACATTTTAGTGCATCATTCTTTCTTTTTATTAATTAAAAAAGATTTGAATTGAAATTAAAATATATATTTTTTGATAATTTTTGTAGAAATTGCCTTAAAATAACTAAAAATTCCTGATGACCATATTATATCAAATCTAAACCAATTTGAACGTGAAATGAAATTTATTTTTAACATTTTTCTTCTCTTTAAGATTTCAGAATTTTGAATAAGTAATAATGGATATAACTTACAAGAAAAATTTGAGGAAGTGATCCTGTATCGATTAACTAAGGAGAAATAGAGGATTCAGATTCAACATATGATTATCTATGAAAATGAGAAAACGAAAAGTAGACAAACTTTTGCTGCCAAGTGTGCTGAATGGTGTGCCACTGAAACTATCTTCGAATCTCATTGTCCTCTATGCATGTCGGAACGCCATAGGAAAGAGCTGTGGTACTTGGATTACGTGTCGTATATTGGATGTACATCACAGTGCCATGAGATCGAGTCCAGGTCGATCATGTATACATAGACGTTGCCAATAGGGGAGAAGGCACCAGTGCTGGCGTATTCCGTCAAAATTTAATCATTAACAAGAAATGGAACATTTATATCCAAATTAAAACGAAATCATAAATTTCAGATTTCAGGTTAAGAGAAATATTTAGATATAGCAAGTTGTAAAGAATCGCCGACTTGTTTCCTAATTTATGACAGATATATGTATAGAAAATTGTGATCCTTTGTGGATGAGGTAGCAGAAGGGATTTGCAGGTATAAATCATCTTCACAACAGATTTTGCGTTAGCAAATGTATTTGCATGTGTGAAATTTGAAGAGAATTGGAGGCTTATTTCGCATTTTTGAGCGTTTTGTATCTTAAACTCTGTATGGGTGAGGTACCAGAAAGAATGGTTCGTTGATGGAAATATTGAGATGTACCAAGTCTGAATGGAATCGGATGTTAATTTTGCGTTTTATGAGCTTCTCTCAAACTCAAAATGTTGACCCTCTATGGGGGAGGTACCACAAGGAGTGGACCGATATATCCCATTTGCACATCAGACCTTGGATTAATAAAAATATCATGATGTGTGTACTTTAGGGAGAACCATATGATTATTTCGAATTTTATAATCGTTTTGGTTATTCAAAACTTTGACCCTTTGTGGGGGAGGTACCAGAAGGAATGTTTCTATCTCTTCTATCTTTATAACAGATCTTGTGTTGCTGGAAATAAAGAGATGTACCTAGTCCGAATGAAATCGAATGTTAATTTCGTATTTTATGAGCTTCATGAATATTCAAAATTTTTACTCTTTGTGGGGGAGGTACCACAAGGAGTGGACCGATAAATTCCATCTTCACACCAGACCTTGGGTTAATAAAAATATTGTGATATGTGTAATTTGAAGACAATTTGACTTTTACATCATATGCCATAAGAGTTATAATTATTCAAAAATTTGACCCTTTCTGGGTAAGGTACTTGATGGAGTGGACCGATATTGTCCATTTTCGCACCTGACCTAGCACTTTGCGTCAGCGTTAGGATATGAAAAGTTGGGGCAAAATCTGATTATCCTTTCCCCTTTTGTGCAGTAATTTTTTTTTTTTTTTTTTGAAAAAAAATTGACGTTTTGTAGGGTAGGTACCAGAAGGAGTAGACCGATATTGCCCATCTACGAATTCGATCTAAGTTTGACAATAATATTACGATGTACCAAGTTTGGATCAAGTCGGATACTATCTTTGAGAGTTATCGTGTGCACCAGCCAGACAGACGGACGGACGGACATCACTAGATCGACTCAAAATGTCCTGAAACGGATTTGGTCCAAAGAGACCTAGGGTCTAAAACCGTTATTTCGATGAAAGAGGTTTTGGCCGTATCAAATGATATATACCCTCTGTAGCCATATGGCTGAGGGTATTAAAATTAATGACAATTGCAGCGAGTTTTAGGCAGAAATTCTCGCAATCAAGAAGGCAGTCAGGACCAGTGACTATATATGACGATAGGCAGGCGGCATCAAAGCCATAAAATGGAGAGCCAATCTTGACTACTAATAAGCCCTTCCTGAAATATGTGAAATACTAACATAATAGAAAACTAAGAACATAGCATTTAGATTTGGTATAAATATGGACAATATATTAAAATAAATTAAATAAAATATGTATTTTTAAAATTTTATTATAATTTTTCACCCTCTTGAAAATGTATATTCATTTAATCCAAACTTATTTACTTATTGTCTGTGTATAAATAAATTAATAACTCTCTCTCCATCTTCGGTTTTTCTTTTTGGTTTGTAATTTTCCTAATAAATTTTATTTCTTTTATTATTCAATAGTTTGGTTTTTGTCTTTGTATATGTCACATATAAAACAGCAACTATTTTCTAAATATACATTTAAGTTGTTTTCATTTTTTGTTTTAGTTTTAGGTTTTCTTATTTCACGAGTTTACGTTTACATACTTGTTGTTGTTATGTAGCTGTGTGTGTTTTGTTTATATTTTTATTTAATTATCCTTAGGAGTTAGGAGTACGTGTAGCAGAACCATGTGCGTTTTCAGTTACCATTAAGTTTTAGTTAATTTCTCTGTTTTGTATATGTGTATGTACTTTGCGATATTAACGTATGTATTTATGTAGTTATTTGCCTTGTTTATTTAGTTTTGCTTATGTTTTGCTGCTGGTGGTGGTTGTAATGAACCCTTTTAACATAGAATTGACTTGGTTTTTTCACTTTTATTTGAATATGTAGCATTTTTGTTGTTTTTGTTTTTTCTTGGTAAAAATGGAAGGGTTTATCGGTGTATATAATTAGTAAGTTATGCCCATGGAGTTTAAAATAAGTAATCTAAAATCTCATTAATAGAAAACAGATTAATATTTGAAATGTAATCAGAAAATGGAACAAAAAACTGTGGGATATAACTAAACAAATATTTTTAAATAGAAAACAATTTTTTTTATAGTTAAATAAATTCTTTGGAACTTTCGATCTCTCAGTATAAAATATACCTTTTGCTGAGGCTTCAAATTTTAAACATATAAAGATCGAACAGTCTTTTGATGTTGCAAAATAGTCAAGCTTATTGTTATTGGTGGAGAAAGATGGTAATGTTTACCAGGGGTGAGGCAGGAAATACCATAAACGCTGTTTGTATAAAAACAACAAAAATGGGAGGAAGCCTGACTATTTTGCAACAACAATGTTAAAATATAACAAGTAAAAAAGCTGTAATTTCGAACCGAACTTTGGCCTTCACCATTTAGAATGAATTTGGCAATTTTCAAAAAAATAAGATCCGTTAAAAATTCTGTTAAAATCTTAAAAAATACCGAATGTAGCCACTATATTAGGGTAGGTACCATGGGGCTATACCAAAACGTGGATCTACACAGACAATTTTCTGTCTTAGGCTGTAGTAACCATTACGAATTTTAGGTACGAAATTTGAAACTACTGCGGTGAATAATGTCGCTAAAATCATCAAAATACCGAATACCGGGAGGTGCTGTCTTATGGGGGCTATACGAAGACGTGGACTTGCGCAGATATTTTTCTTCTTAGTCTGTAGTATCCATAACGAACTTCAAATACCAAGTTTGGAACGATTCCGCTGAAAAATGTTGCTTAAATCACCAAAATATCGAAAATAGGAAGATACCATTTTATGGCTGCTATACGAAAGCGAGGACCGGCACCGACAATTTTTTGTCTTGGGCTGTAGCATTCATTACCAACTTCAAATACCAA